AAAAAAAAAAGGTAGCCCACGGTGTTGTGGTGGGAGCCTGTATTCCCAGCTACTTGGGAGGCTGAGGCAAGACAATCACTTGAGCTCAAGAGTTTGAGGTTGCTGTGAGCTATGGCGCCACAGCAACTCTACCAAGGGTCAAAAAACAAGACTGTCTCCAAAAAAGAAAAAACTGTTGATGTATAAAGCTGGCTTTACTTTTTTAAAAGATATTTCTTAAGGAAAATGTTGGCCATTTATACTGTTCATTTATAAAAACTAGGGATAACTCACTGAAATAAAGGTATACTTAATTAACGTAAAAAAAAAAAAAACTGGAAATAATGACTGGGCATCCATTGCTCAGCGGTTAGTGCACCAGCCCCAGGCCTGCTACACAAACAAAACTGGGAATATTTCCTTCATCCCATTGATTCATGTAAAATCAGTGGCAACATTTCTCTGCTTATATAAAATTTCATACTTTTGGTTTGAAGATTGGGATACAAGTAATAAAATGAACAACTAAATTAATCACAATCTTTATGCTTTAAAAAGATTAGTGGTGTAGGACAATGAGATTGTTTAAAATTACCTTATATTTTTAAAAAGAGCACTTCAATATTTCTGGTACTTCAGGGAGTGGGATTTTGTGGGATGGAGATAAATTCTCAATCTGTAAATATAAGTGTGTCTTACTTTTTGAAGACAAAGCTTTATTCGATACATGTTATAAAAAGTATTTTTGGTGAACATTTCTAAGGAATATCTTCATTTCTCTTTTATTGTAGCAAGATTCTTGGATTTATGAAAACTAAGGATCTTCCGATCACAGAGACGGTGTTCAGTGCCCTTATTACAGGCCATGCAAGAGCTGGGTAATGTTTAACCTAAGGTTTTGGTTCTTACACAAGGTTTGAATTAGGAAAAATTATTGTAGAAAATTTCTAAAATGTGTTTACCTACCCTTTAAAAAATGGAGTAGATGAGGTAGAACATATTACTATTTTTATAACTTGCTCTTAAATTTGTTTTATGAAACATTTGTTTGAAAATATTTAATTTAAAAAATTGGACTTGATGTGAAGTAGCCCAATTCGTAATTTATTAACTGCTGTGGAAACTGCTTTTTCTTTGAAAAATAATTTACTTAATGTTGTCCTTTAAAAGGTAATCTTAGTCATAACTTATTTAACATATTTAATGTAAGAGGATACATTATTTAATATCTGTAATTTTTTATATAATTTGGTTTTTAGGAATATCAGATGTTTATGATCTTTTATTATTTCAGAAACATAACCAGTTTAATATGTATTTGTCCTTTTCCAACAGCATAATTCCAAATGGTACTTAACATTTTTTATTTTAATGCGCATAGGTAACATAATTTAGTTTAACTAATTAATATTACATTCCCCAATGGTATAGTAATTTATTTCCTTTGAATTAACTTACAGAGATATGGAGAATGCACAGAATATTCTCACAGTGATGAAAGAGACTGGAATTGAGCCTGGTCCAGACACATACCTGTCATTACTGCATGCATATGCTGAAAAGGGCGACATTGACCATGTCAAGCAGGTATGACTTGGGTCATGTAAAGAAGCATACTGTAAGATTTATGTTTATTTGTGTTAATTTATTTGTTTTTATAAATTTATGTTTTGCATGAAGCAGAAAAGTATAGCTTATACCTATTTTTAAAGATATCTACTTGTAGAGAGTAGTATTTGAGGGGAATTCTTGTGATAATTTGCTATCTTGATGCTGATAAATAACAGTTATGGTTAAAGTAGAATATTTCCTGTTTTATAAAAGAAGTCCTAAATCTTTAGGTGGTATTTTTCTTAATTTGTGAATCTTGATATTTTGACTTACTTAGCTTTAACATGTAAATAAAAAGCACTGATTTGTAATTTATTCTAATTTCTGAAACCATCTTACAGACACTCAAGAAGGTGGAGGAGTCCGAGCTTTACCTTATGGACCGTGATTTATTACAAATTATCTTTAGCTTCAGTAAAGCTGGGTATCCTCAACATGCCTCAGAAATTTTGGAAAAAATTGGGTACGAAAGAAGATATATTCCAGGTATTTTTTAAAAAATTTATTTATATGATTTTTAAAAAATTGAATTGCTATTATATGATGGAAAGGGCATACTCTAACAGTAGAGGATTGTGGTAGGTGGACATAGACTCTTAAAGTCAAGCTCAATAAACTAAAAAATACGAGTTAATGAATACATAGGGATATTTAGATTTGAAAGTTTTTATTGTGATGTAGGCGGATATATTCTTTTGGTTTTTGCAATTTGTATCTTGTCTTTAGTATTGGTTGCACTGTGAAAATACTGTCCAGTTCCATAACAAAAGATGTCTTTGTTTTCTTCCCAGATGCAATGAATCTCATTTTGCTTTTAGTTACTGAAAAGTTGGAAGATACAGCCTTGCAAATTTTACTCGCATGTCCTCTATCCAAGGAAGATGGTTTGAGTGACTTTGGCAGTTTCTTTTTACAACACTGTGTGACTATGAACGTGGTATTCTGTCCTTTGTTTACTTTGTAGACACTAATTGGCAACGAAATAGATTCTTTATAAGAAAATTTATGAGATTAGAATAATTGTAAACATTTTAAAAACCTTGTTGGCTCAGTGCCCGTAGTACAGTGGTTATGGCACCAGCCACACACACTGAGGCTGGCAGGTTCGAGCCTGGCCCAGGGCAGCTAAACAACAATGACAACTGCAACAATAAAATAGCTGGGCGTTGTGAGAGGCACCTGTATTCCCAACTACTTGGGAGGCTGAGGCAAGAGAATCGCTTAAGCCCAAGAGTTTGAGCTTGCTGTGAGCTGTGATGTTACAGCACTCTACTAAGGGCAACATAGTGAGACTCTGTCTCAGAATAACAACAACAACAACAACAAAACCCTTGTTTTTTGTTGTAAGATTTTTTGATGGGAAGAAGATGAGAGATTTAAATTTTTTATCCCTGGGTGGTTCCTGTTGCTCAGTGGGTAGGGTGCTGGCCCATGTACCGAGGGTGGCAGGTTCAAACCCAGCCCCGGCCAAACTGTAACAAAAAATAGGAAAAATAGCCACGCATTATGGTGGGAGCCTGTAGTCCCAGCTACTTGAGAGGCTGAGGCAAGAGAATAGCCTAAGCCCAGGAGTTGGAAATTGCCGTGAGCTGTGATGCCTCATCACTCTACAGAGGGTGACAAAGTGAGACTCTGTCTCTAAAATAAATAAATCAATAAAAAATAAAAATTTTTCATCCCCAAAGTGGTACAGCAGGTCAGATTGGGGGTGGTGGTGGTGGTATTTGTAACTCTAGCTGATGTGGTGACTTTTTCCTCATAGCCTATGGAGAAGCTGATACACTACTGTAAGAAGTTAAAGGAAGCCCAGATGCACTCGTCTCCTTTGCAGTTCACCCTCCTTTGTGCTCTGCAGGCCAATAAAGCTGGTACTGTATTCTTACAGTTCAAACCAATATAAGGGACTTTCACTGAGATAGCTTTGTAATATTTCATGATACCTCTTTCAGATTTGGCAAAAGTTCTAATGAAGACTATGAAGGAAGAAGGGTCTCCTGTCAGAATTCACTATTTTTGGCCATTGCTAGTTAAGCATCAGAAGAAGAAAAACATTCAAGGTTAGATTTTGCCTTTTATCAACGTGTAGTGGTTCAGAGAGCCACTGTAACAGTTTGTGCGCGTATCTAATTGAATTCTTGGGGAAAGCACACTTAACTCCTGAGCATTAGATATTATAAGAAAATGGAGTCATTTTAAATCACAGTAAAGTAGTATGTAAGCATTTAAAAAAACAAAACATGGATCTATTTCATCTTAATTTTGTTCCTTGATTCATCTCTGATTTTGATATTCAAACTTGGAGTGTAGCTTTAAACAATTCATTAAGTTCTTGATAGTACATGTAGGGTTTGAAATTAGTTTGTCCAGCCTTAATACAGATAAAGTTATATGAAATCGGGTTCATGAAAACAAAGAGTATGGCCATTTTCTTTGTGAACCAATCTCTTTCTTTTTAACTGAGCTTAGTTTAATAATAGGAAAGGCAGGAAAACTTTTATTGCAGAATGAGTACTCATGACCTGACAGCCTACTGATTGAAGGACAGAAATGTTCAATCTTTGAGCTTCTTAAGTACATTTCAGCATTTAGCATACTTTTCCCTCATACACATGGGATATCTATAGGATATGAATAAGAATTGAACAAATATTAAACTTTAGAGTACAGTATCTAATTCTTTGGTTTGCATTATTGGTAATTCAGAAAGAGTAGTCTCATAAAAAGATGCTTTTAACAGAAGTACTTTCCCCTTGGGGAAACAAAAAATGGTCTTTTTCATTTTATCTCGCAGTATAATGTGCTTTGGAATGAGATGCAGAGTTGTTAGTGTGACATTGGGTGACAAACAAAATGCACAAACAACAAAAAAAGTGCTTTTAGCAGACTTTCATATTGCAATTTTATTTTAAATACATGGTCGTCTTCTGGCTTAAAAGAAATAGTGAAACAAGTATTCCCTAATTGTTTCTGGCTATAAAAGTCTCTAAATCCTTTTTAGAAAAATCTTTGTGAAAACAATATGCTAGTTGATTAACTCTTTGTGTAGCCTGTAGTTCTGAAAGCTCCAGAAGGTAACTTTTAAGGCAGTATTTTTAAAGCACAGAAAGTTCATGTTATGTCATCGAACTCTTTAGGCAGGTTTGTATTGTCCACCTTGTCACAGGTATGAAAATATTTTTGGTACTCCATTGAATTGTGTGTCGTTCATAAGGTAAATTTGCCTTCCTCAACCTTATCGCCATGGACTTGAATTTGTTACTGCACTTTTCCTACTTAGTAAATATAAAAGAATTCAGGTAATTTCTTTCCGTCGTTTTAGTAGTAGAGCTAGTAGAAAATGGGCTTTATCTTGAATCCCTCTTAGCATCTCAGAATTTAGGTCGCCAAGGTGCCTGTTGGAAGATCACATACATTATTTAAACAACTGAGAGCTGCAGGGAGTTTCGGCGACGGGCCTTCTGTTCCTTATCTGTCAGTAACATCGGGATTAGAACAGAAGATTTCTGTCCTCCTATTTAAATATTCTTTTTATACCTTCATGTTAGACTTATGTAAATATTTTACTGTATTTATTTTACAAGCATTCTTAGAGGTTGTTTAAAATTTAGGGACCAATTTTTATATTAAGGACATTTCAAAAAGAGGTTACCACATTTTTTAATCAATGATGGTTTTATTTGGAAAAATATAAAATCTTAGGCTTTATTGAGAAAACTGACTAGAAGAGAGTAAGAGATTGTCTGTTTTAAAAACTATGTTCTGGCCAGGCGCCGTGGCTCATATCTGTAATCCTAGCCCTCTGGGAGGCTGAGGCAGATGGATCGTCTGAGCTCAGGAGTTCAAGACCAGCCTGAGCAAGAGCAAGACCCAATCTCTAAAAATAGCCAGGCATTGTGGTGGGCACTTGTAGTCTCAGCTAGCTACTTGGGAGGCTAAGGCAAGAGAATCATCGCTTAAACCCAAGAGTTGGAGGTTGCTGTGAGCTGTGGTGCCATGGCATTCTACGGAAGGTTGCAGAGTGAGACTTTGTCTCTAAATAAATAAATAAATATAAGAACTATGTTCTTCTTTGCCAGGAGGGCCTACAATATAGTAAAATATGTATTCTATATTCTTTATGAAATAGGGGAATGGCTGTACGTATTCTATGTAGTTTCTTCAGTCTAAGGTAAAAAAGTGACATTCTTGACTTGTGCAGGGACTGTGTTCTTTGTGTATTGAAAGTCATATATCAACTGCTAGGAATAACAGAAGTAATGTACCAGGCATGGTGGCTCATGCCTGGAATCGTAGCACTCTGGAAAGCTGAGGCAGGAGTATTGCTTGAGGTCAGGAGTTTTGCGATCAGTTTGAGTAGAGCGAGACCTTGTCTCTGCCAAAAATAGAAAATTAGCTTGGCCACTCAGGAGGCTGAGGCAGGAGGATTGCTTGAGCCAAGGAGTTTGAGATTGAGCGAGGCTGAGGCCATGGCACTCTACTCCAGGCAACAGAGTGAGACTTTGTCTATGGAAAAAAGAAAGAAAGAAAAAGGAAAGTGTTGGCTACAGTGATGGAAAATGTTGGGAATGTTTTGTGATTAATAAATAAAACCCTTCAGGAAATCAGAGAAAGATACTTGGAGGTCAGATAAAACTGAACAAAGCGTTTTTAACTGGATAATCAAATTTCTGTTAAATTTTCCTGGCTTCAAGTTTAGCCATTACCAATCTCTAATAAAGACTTATAATGGCTTCCTCATGGTTCATCTTACTAGTATTTTCCTCTGTGACACAAGTAGAAAACTCCACACATAAGAATAATGCATTTGTAGCAAGTTGGCCTCACTGAGAGGAAATAGCCCAGAATTAGTAGGGATCCATATCCCTTGTTGTATTTAGAAAACATAAAACTAAGAATGTAAAAGGGGTAAAATTTACAAGGAAGGGCTGATCTGAAAGCCTGTTAAGTGAAGTGGTTGAGTAGAGGAAACATTTTTCAAAGAGTGAGAAAATAGCCTCCTAATCAGATGAGTGCCCTGGATAGAACATAAAGTCATCTGGAGCAAAGCAGTCGTAGTTGGTCAAGTTCAACGGGTAAATCATATATATCTTTCCAGGTAGCTGGAACTATTTTAATTCTGATAAAAACTTTATAAACTGAGACTTTCTTCTAGATTTATAAACTTTCTCTTGGCTGCATTGAAATATTTTCACTAGATATTTTGTTTAGTCTTAGTTTAGATTTTCTAAGTTTATAGAGATTGGGAATCCATTTATTTCTACATTTAGAACATAGGAATATATATATGTATATTTGTTTGTTTGTTTGTTTGAGACAGAGTCTCAAGTTGTTGCCCTGGGTAGCATGCCGTGGTGTCACAGCTCACAGCAACCTTAAACTCTTGGGCTTAAGCGATTCTCTTGCTTCAGCCTCCTAAGTAGCTGGGACTTACAGGTACCCACCATAACACCAGGCTGTTTTTTTTGTTGTTGCAATTGTCATTGTTTTAGCTGGGCCAGGCTGGGTTCGAACCCGCCAGCCTTGGTGTATGTGGTTGGCGCCCTGCCCACTGTGCTACAGGTGCTACCAGGCTACCTGTTTTAGATTCTTCATGTAAGTGAGATCATACGGTATTATCTTTCTGTGTCTGGCTTATTTACTTAATTAACAGACCTCTAAAGACATGTCCAGCTTTATTTATATAGAGAAGCATCTCTGCTTCTACCCTAAGTAGACTGAGTTGAAAGCCTTGTTAATATAATTTGCTATACTGATCTGAGCTAAGTTGTAATATTTGGGGTTTTTTTGTTCAGAGTGTTATAGTTGTTAGTTTGTTGTCTTCAGTCTTCTTCTAGGTTGAGATCATAAGAATTTCTTCCATGGATAATATTTCAGTTCCTGGAACTTTTCTTGCATCCATTCAGTAGACATGGACTCCATTAGGTCAGAAAATTGCTCTGTTCATTGAGTGCCTTGATCCCTATTGCCTTGTGTAGGCTATGGATAGTATTAAGAGTTAGAAAGATTAAGCAAAGCAATGTGTGTGAAAGCGATTAGAAGACACAATTCCTGGCATTTTGCATTCCTAGTATCTAAGTTAAGAAATTAGGGCTCCTTGCTCAGATTTATTTTACACCGTCAATATGTGATAGAACCAGAGTGAAAAGTCTGGGAAGAGTCTAGGTCTCTTTAAACTCCACAGCTTGTTTTTTTGTCTTACCACCAGAGTTTTCATATCAGAAACTTAATTATTTACTTTAAGCCATAGTCATGAAAATAATCGCTCATTACTGGTCAGAAAGGACACTGAGGACATTAGATCACCGGTTTTATTAATAGTGATTAAAAAGCAATTTATGGTCAAGCATGGTAGCTCATGGCTGTAATCCAAGTGCTGCAAGAGGATGAGGGAGGAGGATCCCTTGAGCACCAGGAGTTTAAGACAATAGTGAGCTATGATCACACCATTGGCTTCCAGCCTGGGTCACGGAACAAGACCCTGTCTCAAAATCAAAAGAAAACAATCCTGTCATTTGTGGCAATACGGTGAATCTGAAGGACATTATGCTAAGTGAAATAAGCCAGACACAGAAAGACAAAGACATCTTTGTCTCAGTATTCTTTCCACCTGGTAGTGTTTAAAGGTTAGTCCAGGGATAGTTGGTTCATTTCTTAGGGAGTTAAAGTAAGTTAGTGAGTACTTTCCCATCCATCTTGGGAGTGAACCATACTTAATCTATTTTGTTGAGGGCTTGCAGCCCAGAAATTTGTCAGGAGTTAACTGGTATTTTTCTACTTTAGCTTAGGCCTAACACCATGGCACTCTACCCAGGCAACAGAGTAAGACTCTGTCTCAAAAAAAAAAGAAAGAAAGAAAAAAGTTAACCCTGAAAACTGCTTGAACTGGAGACTGTTTTTTGCATTATAATTTTTACATCTTGAAAAATGCATTTGAACCTCTGAAGTTTAAAGATATTAGGTTAAGGGCGATGCCTGGCTCAATGAGTAGGGTGCCGGCCCCATATACCGAGGGTGGTGGGTTCAAACCTAGCCCCGGCCAAATTGCAGCAAAAAAATAGCTAGGCGTTGTGGTGTGTGCCTGTAGTCTCCTACTTGGGAGGCTGAGGCAAGAGAATCGCCTAAGCCCAGAAGTTGGAGGTTGCTATGAACTGTGTGATGCCATGGCATTCTGCTGAAGGTGATAAAGTGAGACTCTGTCTCTACCCAAAAAAAAAAAGATATTAGGTTAATTATTTCCCTCAACCAGTATTATTGATATGAATGACAAATAAGAAATGTATATATTTTAAAATAAACAAACATGATGTTTTAATATCTTCTTAAATAAAATTAAAAAAATAAAAATACATTTTATGTGTTGCTTCCAGGTCTTTTGACTACAATCAAGTATATAATCCAAATTTTATCGAAAAGAAATGTACAAAAGTTCATAATGTAGTTAGACTTGCCTGCATCTTTGTATACTCAGTGGGAATTTATGACCGATTATTTGTATTAGTTTATTATATAACAAATTTATAGAAATGTAATTTTTTTGGAGATAATATAGAGCAGAAACAGATTTTGAGAAGTTTTAAATTTTGAAAGTAGTGAAGCCGGCTCGGCACCTGTGGCTCAAGCAGCTAAGGTGCCAGCCACGTACACCTAAGGTGGCAAGTTCGAATCCAGCCCGGGCTCGCCAAACAACAATAATGGCTGCAACCAAAAAATAACCGGGTGTTGTGGTGGGCGCCTGTAGTCCCAGCTACTTGGGAGGCTGAGGCAGGAGACTCGCTTGAGCCCAGGAGTTGGAGGTTGCTGTGAGCAGTGAAGCCATGGCACTCTACCCAGGGGGATAGCTTGAGGCTCTGTCTCAAAAAAAAAAAGAAAGTAGTGAAGCCAAAGAAGGAAGTTTTAAAAGGAAAAGAATTATTTCCTTTTTTTTTTTTTTTTTTGAGAGAGAGAGTCTCACTTTATTGTCCTCAGTAGGGTGCTGTGGCATCACAGCTCACAGCTACCTCTACTCTTGGGCTTAGGCAATTCTCTTGCCTCAGCCTCCCAAGTAGCTGGGACTACAGGCACCTGCCACAACACCCAACTATTTTTTGTTGCAGTTGTCATTGCTGTTTTAGCTGGCCGGGCCGGGTTTGAACCTGCCACCCTTGGCATATGGGGCTGGTGTCCTTCCCACTGAGCCACAGGTGCTGCCCCCTTTCTTTTTTATTAAAATGTAGCCTCTGTCAAGTTAGGTCACACCTGAGTAGTTTGGCAGTTGGGTAGAATGAGTCAGATCTCATTAGTCAGATCTCAAAACAAATAGATTTGTACTATTTGAACTTACCTAGAACTTGGAAACCATGCATGAAGTGACTTAATAGTTATTAAGAAGTTATTATAAGAGATTTTTATGAGTCTGGGATGAGACAAAATAAATAACTTATTAGACTTTGGAGTTAGTTTTGAATACAATGAGATAGTAACTCAATAGAATCAGTTTTTCTCTTCATTTTTCATTCTTATATGAAGTCAGAAGGTAGTAACAATTAGAGATTTTTTTATATAAGTTCTTAATTAAAACACAGATTTTGAAACTTGTTTCGTCTTTGACAGAGCCCCTCTCCTTCCCCTACTCCAGTCCCTTCCCCTTTCAGCATTTATTCTCATCATGTTTTATTGTGTAAGTTCATCATTGCTCTATAATAGCAATGGTGTTTATCATATAATATGTTATAGAATAGTGGAAAATAGTGCTGTTCAGTTGCGGTGCCAGAAATGTGAGGCACATTGCTTAATTGATCAATTTCAATTGAAAGTCAGACTTTCAAGGACAATTTCTCAGTACTCACCATTAAATTAATAGAGGGATATGAGAAAAGGAAAGATTTTTTAAAAATGCATTATCATATCTCCCTATTCTGTTGCTTTTCTGCTTTCTCTTTCAGATAAACAGTGTGCTAAACGATTTTCCTACATTGTGGTTCAGAAAATGAATTTTCTGGTCTTGTGTTAATTTAATTCAAGTTTTTTTTAAATCTCTGTGCTTCTAAATTTTATATTACAGGAATAATTGAAGTCCTCAAAGGAATGCATGAATTGGGAATAGATCCTGATCAGGAGACTTATGTAAATTATGTGTTTCCATCCTTTGACAGTGTGAAGTCGGTCCATACTGCTTTGCAGGTGAGTAAAACGTGTTTTAATTTCATAGTTGAACAAAACATCTTTCTTTCCTAAAACTTAGTGGTCACCAAAAAATAAAAAGTCACTGAGCTAAGGACTAATAGTGGTCAAGTCTGTGTGCAATTTTCTAAATCTTTGTAAAAATATTAGTTGGTATAAGATTTATAGTGAGTGGTTAAGCTTTAAAAGTTTATAAAGGTAAAGCAACATTTTTCTTGTGTGTTGAAAGACAGTATGCCACTGCCAGAAAAAAATTAAAACAATATTCACGTCTTTGTTTTTAGACAGAATCTCACTCAGGTGCCCTGAGTTGAGTGCTAATGGTGTCAAAGCTCACAGCAGCCCCAAACTCTTGGGCTTAAGCGATTATCTTGTCTCAGCCTCCCATGTAGTTGGGAGTATAGTAGACAGGAGGGCTCACTTTGCTAAGGCTGGTCTCGAACTCCTGAGCTCAGGCAGTCCACCCACCTCTGCCTCCCAGAGTGCTAGGATTTCAGGCATGAGCCACTGTGTGTAGTCTAATACCACTTCTTAATCCCACTCATGCACAAGTGCAATTTTCACTTTTTGCAATATTTGTTTTCACTCCCATCTGAATTGTCATAAATGCAGTAGTAGTACAGGGTATCCATAAAGTTTGTGTGTAGTTTAAATAGTTGGCTATTTTATTTGGTGTTTTTTTGTTTGGGTTTTTTTTTTTTTTTTGAGTCAAAGTCTCAAGCTGTCACCCTGGGTAGAGTGCCATGGCATCATGGCTCACAGTAACTAGTCTCGAACTTGTCATCTCAAGCTATCCATCAGCCTCCCCCCCCCCCCCCCCCCACCCAATGCTAGAGCTACAGGTATGAGCCGCCACGCTCAGCCAGTAGTTGGCTATTTTAAATTCCACATGAACTTTATGGGCAACCTGGGCTCAAATTATCCTCTTGCCTCAGTTTTTCTATTTTTTTAAATTTTTATTTATTTATTTATTTTTGAGACAGAGTCTCACTTTGTCCCCCTTGGTAGAGTGGTAGAGTGCCATGGCGTCATCGCTCACAGCAACTGCAGACTCTTGAGCTCAAGTGATTTTCTTGCCTCAGCCTTCCTAGTAGCTGGGACTACAGGCAGCCACCACAATACTCTGCTGTTTTTTTAGAGATGGGGTCTTGCATTTGCTCAGGCTGGTCTTGAACCTCTGAGCTCGGCAGTTCACCCGCCTGATTATAGGAATGAGCCACCTTGCCCAGCCCAAGTTTTTCTGTTTTTTAGTAGAGACGGGGTCTCACTTTTGCTCTGGCTGGTCTCGAACTCATCATCTCAAGCAATCCTCCTGCGTTGGACCTCCAGAGTGCTAGGATTACAGGCTGAGGCAGCACCTGGCCAATAGGTGGCTATTTTAAATTGTACATGAACTTTATGGACACCTTGCATGTTTACTATTCTGTATTCTTAGGTCTTCTAAAACGATCTTTTGTTATTTTCCTGCCACGTAGTTCTTGTCCATAGTGGGATAGGCAAGATGTTGATAAAGAGGCATTTGAAGAAGCTGACTTGGAAGGTGCATTGGATGAGCAAAGGTTGCATTTCAAAGCCCAGTGCTGTATAATTAGCAGCAACATGGCATTGCACCTAATACTTAATAAGGAATACTTCGTTTGAAAGATCTGTTTATTCACATAATACCTTGACTTTAAAAAAAAAAAAACTTTCAGGTTAACAGGAGGGCACAAGCCATTAAGTTACATTATTAGGTAAAGTCCAAGTTGTAGTTGAGACCTTCACCCAGGAGGTGTGCCATATGCCCTTACATTGTGCAGATTTAGGTGAGAGCACACCAATCCCCTTTCTTCTCCCTCCCTTGATTTTTATAATAATGTTAAAAAGTTCCTTTCTTTCCTTTAAAATAGTTACAGTCTTCATTAAGTTAAAGTTCATGTCTTAAGATCTTTACCTCTCTCCCTAAGTCCTTAGTGTATTATTTTGAGCCTGTGCTGTAATAATTTACTGTTTAAGAACTTTTTTAAAAAGCAACTTTCCCACGTATTCTTTTTTTCCCAAGTGTCTTCTGTTTTTGCAGAAATACAGCCCAAGATTTTAATGTCTCCTGATTACTACTTGTACTTTCTCACTCATGAGTAGGAAGAACCAAAACTAATGTGGAAACATATCCTAAATTCAGTTACATTCATTTTTATTTCAACTATGTTTCTCCTCCCTTTTTGGAATTTTGATAGTGGGAAGTATTACTGGCTCTAGAACAACTATTCTGTTAAGTGCTTAATTGAATTCCCAGTATTGATAGGCTTTTTGTTTTCATTTATACAATAAAAATTGTGTTTTTTGTGAGTTTGAAAATATCCCATAACATATGAGGTCTCAAATTAAGTTTGTAAACTCATTCAAGAAGTGCTCCGTACCTCATTGCTGAGTATCACTATAGTCACCTTTGAAATACTCCCCTTGGGAAACTATGCTCCCGGGACACCGCCAAGTCCACCCTTCAAGGCATTTTTTCTAGGATGAGTTTGTGAACTTAAATGTCAGACCTCATATGATGACAGCTCTGATGGGCATTCCAGGAAAAAAGAGTTCAAAGTTGCTGTGAAGGATGGACTAGGTGCTGACCTTGGCGCATAGCTTCCCCTAGGGAGTACTTCGAAGGTGACCATACTGATATTTAGTAATGAGGGATGGAACACTTCTTCTAGGATGAGTTGGCAAAGTTAATTGTTCAACCTCATATGTTTGTTGATAAAATAGAAAATACAAGGGATAAGACTACACAGCTCTTCCACAGGTCCTTGAGAGAGTCATTACTGTTTTGTGTGTATGTTATTTCAGATGTGAGGATGTTTGAGAAACCTTATTCAGCAACAAGTAGATTATATTATTCTCATATTACCTGGCAACCTACATTTTTTTCCCCTGGCGCCTTTCTATAACAATATATCATTCCACAATTTATTTTTTATGCTCATATGCTGTTTTATTGTGTTGATATATTATAAATTATTTTTATACATTGTTTTTTATTGGTTATCTGGGTCATTTTTAACATTTCACTATTATCAAATGATTCAGTAATGTGTTTGAACTAAATATTGGTTTATATACTTAAATTATTAAACAAATGATGTTAGGACAAATGAAGAACCACTTAAAGTTAAATTAAGTTTGATCCGTATCTCACTATATGCTCCCAAACATTGTTTTAGATGCATGCATTGAATTTTTGTTTTGCCTTGATGAAAGAGTTGTTCTAGTGCAGGCGTCCTCAAACTATGGCCCGCGGGCCACATGCAGCCCACCTAGGACATTTATTCGACCTGCTGGGTGTTTTTGCCACCGCTGCCTGTCCTGCTTAGCAGCCGACTCATCTCGGGGCCTGCAGTCCGGCCCTCCAATGGTCTGAGGGACAGTGAACTGGCCCCGTGTTTAAAAAGTTTGAGGACCCCCGTTCTAGTGTCTTCAGTAGTAATTTCCTGGAAGGCATGTCTTTTAAGGGTAACCGATTATCTTTATTAGAGGATAAGCATTTAATTTTTTAATGTTGGAGCTACATCTCAAAACTTTAGGCTAGAGTTAATTATTTAGCTTATATGTTGTTTTAGAAAATGATTTTTTAAAATGATAGTTTGTCAAAGAATATGGTGATAAAAAGAATAGGAAAACAGGAAATTTGAATGGTGTATCACAATATTTAGCCGAGGCATATTATCACTGACATATGCTTTATCCGTAGGAAAATGGATGTCTTCCTAAAGATGATACGCTTACTCAAGCTGAGCTGAAAAGTGAAGCAGTAAATGGGAACTTAGACTATATTTTATCAGTTTGTAAGTATGGAATATGAGAAGTGAACTTGACAAGTGTTAGTCTGTGTTATTATGGAGGCATGCTGGGCACTTCATGCAGTGAAAGGAAGGAAGTTTGTATATGTTTTGTTATAGCCACACTGATAAGTTAGTTATGAGATGAACTTGTGGATAAATTGAAAGTAATTTTAAAGTTGGAAGGACCTTGGATATAACATGATGCTACAGTGGAGGCTGGACTGAGGACCTTGAAGACTTAGGTCTTCTTTATAATTCAGCCACTGATTATGTGGCCTGGAATAAGTCTCCTAACAACTCTAATGCGACTCTACATCAGTTTCATTAAATGGGTATAGTACCTATCTACCTTGCAGGGGTGGTTGTAAAAATCAGGTGAGATACTATTTCTGGAAAGGGTTTTCTAAGCTAACTTCTTGATTATTGTAAAGTTAAGTTACATGAAGCCATCTTCTAGCCTTTGTTAACAAAAACACAGCAAATGTTTATTAAACATTTAAAAATGCTGATGTGCTTTCAAATTCTTACCACAATGGTAATTCAGTTACCTCCATTGATGGATGAAGAAAGCTATAAAGAAGTTAAGTGATTTGCACAAGATTAGTGATTTGAGCCAAAAGCAAATTTTCTGACTTTATTTAGTACATTTTATTTTATTTTTATTATTATTATTTTTTTAATAGAGTCTCATTTTGTCGCCCTCTGTAGACAGCTCAGAGCAACCTCCAACACTTAGGCTTAAGCAATTCTCTTGCCTCAGCCTCCCGAGCAGCTGGGACCACAGGCACCCGTCACAATGCCCGGCTATTTTTTTGTTGCAGTTTGGCCGGGGCTGGATTTGAACCAGCCACCCTCGGAATGTGGGGCTGGCGTCCCAGTCCATTTCATTTTTAATAAGTACATAAGGTGTTGCCAATTTTTAGAGCCTGTGGAAAGTACACCATATTAAAAACATAGCACAGAAATATACCAAGTTTTAGCTCCATAAAATGTTAAAAGTTAAGCTCTGATTAATGTATAATATAGGTGGAAGCTTTGTAAAGACCAGGTTATTGGTATATGTTACTTGTGTACAACATGTCATTTAAAATAGTGCATTATAATGTTGTAAGGGAAAGGCAAAGTGTCCCACATGGAAAATGGTGACCGTTAAAGGTATAATCGAGTCGAAGTTTGGCTAGTAATGCTGGCTGCTATCTAAGTGTATTGATTTTGCCTTCCACTCTGTATAATTCATAGATTTTCCATACTGACAAGATGAAAACAGAGAGGCATTAGCAGAGGAATCTGGGCTGGGAAGGTGCACACACGAGCGCTGCCTTTTCCTTTTATCATGCCATCCATTTCACTTCATTGTCAGCCTCTTGATTTTTCAGACTTGTCTGACTTGTTTGTTGCTAAGGAAACTAGATGCTTTTTGTCAGCAGCCTTCCAGCTTGCTGAAATGTTTCTGGTCACCTTTTTAGTAAATAAAAACTTGATAATATTCTGTGAAATACTATTTTGAATAGTATAAAAATAAATCTTCAAGAGGCTATTTATTAAACATGGAAAAGAAGAAAAAGGAAGGTGAAGACTAAAGAATATTTGTGCTTATTCCAGTCAGTACCTGCCTCCCCTCCCTCAATTTATAGGTCTTTGAAGAGCAGTTTGTACTGTAATTGCTGGTAGTTAGTGTAGGCAGCTCGTAGGTCTACCCTATTGGTTACTACCTTACTAGGTATGTCAGTTAGTTTAGAAGAGTAAATGGACTATCTTAATTAAGTTTTGGGGTAGTAGGAAACATTTTCCCACTAAATGTTGATAGACATGGAAATTAATTTGATCAGGCAAAGTTAAAACTACTGAGATGCCTGGGGTTGTGGCTGCTTTAAAATTCCTTGGGTGACTAATAGTGGGTCATGTTTGAATGGTTTTTAGATTTTCAAATGTCGTAAAACCACTGAGGAACTTATGTTTTTTGTTTAAGGGATGTAGTAGCTAATCTGAAACAATTCTTTTTATGTGGGTTGGTTAATTTATATTTAAAGGAGTTGAAGAAGTATTTTTTCTTCGAGACAGTCTCAAGCTGTTGCTTACAAGTCTTATCAGCCTTATGACGTTGAAGGTTGTAGACTATTAAATGCCAAAGAGTAGTTGAGCAAATAAATAAATGCTCAAAAAAGTGAAAGACCAATAAAGTCAATTCCATAACAGAAGCAAAGACCTATTTTGCCATGACTTTAGGTTGTCATTCTTGTGTGACAGTAGGTCATTGATTAGAGTGGAAAATGAAATGACAAAGTGTGGGCTTGGCACCCGTAGTTCAGTGGTTAGGGCACCAGCCACATACACTGAGGCTGGTGGTGGGTTCGAACCCGGCCCGGGGCAAGCTAAACAACAATGACAACTGCAACCAAAAAATAACGGGGCCTTGTGGCAGGCACCTATAGTTCCAGCTACTTGGGAGGCTAAGGCAAGAGAATCTCTTAAGCCCAACAGTTTGAGGTTGCCGTAAGCTGTGATACATGGCCCTCTACCGAGGACAACATAGTGAGACTCTCTTACCAAAAAAAAAGAGAAATCAGAGTGTGAATGGTTCAGGAGAACCCAACACACCTCTCAGAAAAGAATGTTTCTCCTCATCTACTATCTTTAAAGGATGAATGTACTATAGGGTATTACAGTCTCTGTCTTTTTGCCAGGGTCCAAAAACTTAGCCTCAGTATGCCTATCAGACAGAATCTGAGGGTGCTGGTATATTAGTAATTACTGTTTATATGACATAATATTTATAAACTCATTATAAATATTACATATACTGTATATTTACAAGGTGAAATAAATATGCATTAAAAGGCTGCTTATTGCAAACATGTATTACTATATTATCTATGAAAATATTTTCATTTTTTTGGCTTGACGCCTGTGGCTCAAGCTGCTAAGGCACATAGACCAGAGCTGGTGGGTTCGAATCCAGCCCAGGCCTGCCAAACAACAATGGCAACTGCAACTAAAAAATGGCCAGGCATTGTGGTGGGTGCCTGTGGTCCCAGCTACTTGGGAGGCCGAGGCATGAGAATTGCTTTAAGCCCAAGAGTTGGAGGTTGCTATGAGCTATGATGCCACAGCACTCTACCCAGGGCGACAGCTTGAGGCTCTGTCTCAAAAAAAAAAAAAAAAGAAAAGATTTTCAATTTTTGAATAAAAATTTCAAAATGAAAACTAAAATGTATAATGTGATAATGTAGGGTTTTTTTGGTTTGTTTGTTTATTTGGTCTGAGATTTAATAATGGTTGTTTTCTTTTGCAGTGGAATCAAATACATTGTCTTTCTCATTAAATTCTTTTAGAACCAGCCTAATTCAAGGCTTTAAGAGGTAAGATGACTAACTTAAATGTTCTTTACCTAAATACGGTCTGATTTATCTTGTCTTTTTGACTTATTGCATGAGGAAAAATATGTATTTTCCAAAATACTTCTGGTATACCTGAAATAACCTTATCTGGTTTATTTCTCCTTTTAAGTGGTTAGATTAACTACTTAGTAGCTAGGCAGCCTTGGTGTCATCTTTTTCATGAAATGTACACAGATTTGGTAAAGATGCTATCTCTAAGGAGAAAGTGCTGTTTGAGGTATAGACAAATTTACATGTATATTCACTTTATTCTTTGAGAATTTAATTATAAGATGACTTATTCATTATTGTATTATTCTCCTCTGTGTGCTTAGGGCATGTTAGTGACTTTGCCCTTGTAATTTTCTTATTTTCAAAATATTTAAACATCAAGAAAAGTGTTAAAAAAAACAGTAAAAGGACCACCTATAGACCGTTTACCTAAATTCATCAATTTGTTACTATTTTGTCATATTTACTTACATTCTTTTTGTTGTTTTTTTTTTTTTTTTTTTTTGAGACAGTCTCACTATATTGCCCAGTCCACAGCAACCTCAAACTCCTTGGGCTTAAGCAAGTCTCTTGCCTCAGCCTCTCAAATAGCTAGGACTATGGGCGCCCACCACAAGGCCTGGCTTTTTTGTTGTTGTTGTTATTGTTGTCATTGTTGTTTAGCAGGCCTGGGCCGGGTTCGAACCTGCCAACCCTGCTGCATGTGGCCGGTGCCCTATCCACTGAGCTATGGGCGCCGAGCCTACTTACATTCTTATACACGTCTTAGTCACCCAGGCTGGAGTGCAATAGAGTCATTAGAGCTCACTGCAACCTCAAACTGCTAGGCTTGAGAGATTCTCCCATCCCAGCCTCCAGAGTAGCTGGTACTACAGGCCTATACTCACCATGCCCAACTCATTTTTTTTTTTCTTCAATGGACAGGGTCTCACTATGTTGCTCAGGCTCAACTCCTGGCCTCAAGGGATCCTCCCATTTCCCAAAGTACTGGGTTACAGGTGCAAGTCACCATGCCCAGCATCTCACATGCTCTATGTGCAAAGTGTGTGTGTGTGTGTGTATACACTCAGAAATGTGATGTACATTTTTTTTTTAATCAACTTGAAGTTGTAGACATGGCACTGAATCTTTCAGCACGTATCTCTTAGGGATAAGGTTATCATCTATATATCCTAATATCAATATCACTCTTAAAAAATATAACAACAGGGCAGCACCTGTCGCTCAGTGGGTAGGGCATTGGCCCCATATACTAAGGGGGGCAGGTTTGAACCCAGCCCCGGCCAAACTGCAACAAAAAAATAGCCGGGCATTGTAGTGAGTGCCTGTAGTCCTAGCTACTCGGAAGGCTGAGGCAAGAGAATCACCTAAGCCTAGGAGTTGGAGGTTGCCGTGAGCTGTGATGTGACAGCACTCTACTGAGGGCGATAAAGTGAAACGCTGTCTCTTAAAAAAGAAAAAAAAAAAAATATATATATATATATATAAACAACAACAAATAACCCCATGTTATCAGCTGATACACATAGTTCATATTCAGATTTTCACAGTTCTCAAAATTTCTCAAGTTCATGCACTGCATTTGATTGCTATGTCTCTTTAATCTCTTAATCCAAGGTAGTTCCTTTACCTTTTTTATTTTTTTGTGATAATTGGTTTTTTTTGGTTTGTTTCTTTGTCACTGTTAAAGAACCTATGCTAGTTCCCTACATTTTGTATTTGTCTGATTTTTCTTCTCATAATGAAACTCAGATTAAACATTTTTAGCAATACTCCAGAGGTTATGGGCACTTCTTATTGTATCACATGAAGGAATATAAAGTCAGGTGTTAGACATCGATGCCAGGTAAGTTTGATCACTTTGTATGATGAGGGTTCCCACATCCCCTCCTTGAAAAGGAAGTTCTTTCCCTTTGTAATTAGTAAGAATTTTAGGGGGTGATACTTTAAGATAATCTATCCTGTTTTCCAAGAACTGAAAGGTTTTAGCAGCCATTGGTAAGCCTTGCTGAATCAGATATTAACACTGGTGGCTGCAAAAAGGATGAGTTTCCAAGTGTGTTATTGCTTCCATGTTTATACCTCAGTAATCTCTATACTGTTCAATGCTGAGCGCAGTGGAGTTTGCCATAACACCTTCACTGTAGGCAAGAAGAGTTAGAAAAGTAGGTGGCATCGTATGTTGCTGCCCTTCCAGTGAAGTTCTCATCTTTTTGGTAATAGTTCTGTGTATTTAAAAGAAAAAAAAAGACAATGTTCAGGCCTTTAAAAATAACAATTGAGAAGTATAGAATACATAATCAAATAGAGAACATGATCGTACATTTTTCTTCCTTCTTGAACACACAGAGTTAGAAATGGTAGATGTGGCTCGGCGCCTGTGGCTCAACCGGCTAGGGCGCCAGCCGCGTACACCTAGGGTGGCGGGTTCGAATCCCCAGCCCGGACCCGCCAAACAACAATGAC